TTCAAATATCTTTACTAAGATATTACTCACAGTGATCCGCTAGATGATTTGCCCTTGTGCTCGATCCTATACATTTCATAGACATAATGGTCACAAGCAATTCAATCCGTTCGAAATTCATATATTCTTCTTAGGCCTTTTCCATATCTTCTTAATCCATTCACAATACCCAATGCATGTCTAAGAGTGCTGAGGAATGAAAAAGAACGGAAAACGAAACACGAAACCATTTTTCAAAATTTCTAAAACAGGGCTCCCCGCTCGAGCGCAGATTTTGCCTCTCGAGCGGACCCCTTTTGTCTGCAAAAGTACTGGTTACTTCATATTTACGTTTGAGCGTGACCCTGGACACTCGAGCTGAGAGTTGAAATAATGTGACTTACGCTCGAGCGTGACTCTTCTCACTCGAGCGAACATCCATGTCTGCAAAAGTTCTGGAAACTAACATTTTACGCTCGAGCGGCGTATTCCCCGCTCGAGTGGGCTTAACGAATTCTGGGTTTTCCAGAATTCTATTTGAAGTTCAAATCAAAATCCTAATGGTCCAATTCATGCATAAGACATTCAAATATGTAGGTACACTCCCAAAACATACATTTGAAGATAATTTGTAACCATAGCTTAAAATTCCATGGGTTTAACAACTTTCAAACCATAAATTATATATCTATATATACACAAATCATGATTGTATTTAGCATGAACAAGTTTTAAAGCTTGAAATTAAGCTCCAATACATGGAAAATTCTTGCATGCATGTATCAAACAACCCTCAAAACAACATAATCAACATGTTTTACCTTTAAACATGCAAAATTATGGTCAATCCTTACATGCATGCATCCAATGATCTCAAGTTTATCAAGCTTAGCTTAATTCATGTATTTAACTCTATATACAACTCAAATCACACTTTTTGATCACAATCTAACTTTGATTCCACAAAATTACAAACTCAAATTTATGAATTCACTCACCTAGGAGCTCCAATCTTCACAAAGTATAGTTAATTCTTGAGTTTAGCCCCCAATTCTCAAGCTTTGAGCCAAATTGCATAATTCTCCCTCTTCCTCACTCTAGGAACAGCCCCCCTCTCTCACTAGAGTGTAATTCAAATTTTGGGCTCATAGCAAGATGTATATAAGTGTAAGTTGGCCTATTTATAGGCTCTCTTAATCAAATTTGATTATGATTAATTAATAGTGTTTAATTCAATCAGTTTAACTAATTAATTCATTCCGAATTAGTTTTCAATTAAATTTTACCATAGGCTCTAAAAATTACGCCAATTACGATGGCGTAGTCAATTTCGATTTCTGTGGCCGATAAGGCCTTCAATTTCCAGTTCATGACAGTAAGTTGAACAGATTTTCCTATGGTGAACAGATAGAAGTTCAAAATCACATATAATCATATAAACGACATCCAAAATCATATTAAATACATAATCACAATCATAATTAAGATTAATTAGCATAATACGGAATAGGGTTATCACAAAGATCGTTTGATCTCATTCCCTTTGGAGATTTCAATGTCGTCGTTGTTCTTTGGCGGCAGATGTGGATGAAGTGGTGAAAGCCATGTTTAGATCTGTGACCCCATTGTTGCCACCATCATCGACGGTCTTGGCTAGGGAATTCCATTGAATCAATGGTGAGAAAGTCCCAGAGAATGTCATCGGTGGCAAAATCGAACCCTTTCTTATAGCAAAGTTGTTACGATCTGATGATTCAAAAGCTATGCTTAGAGTTCGAAAACGATGTTGGTGTTTAGGAGAGAAAGAGAGAGAGATAGAGAGAGAGAGAGAGAGAGAGAGAGAGAGAGAGAGAAGGAGATCGGCAATTGAAAAAGGCGGAGAAGGGAGATCATCGGAGGACATCGGCAGAGCGATGAGTGAGAGAAAGAGGAAAAGAGACGAGCGGTTTGGTTGGGTTAGCCCTGACTCAAACCAGTAAACGGAGGATTTAACTTAGACCCTGACTCCACGGAATGAAACTTAAGTAGCCCGGCCCGGGCTTTAGATCTAATTCCGAACTAAGACACCTAAGGCACCGTTCCGTCATGTTCTAGCAGGAGCGCACTGGAGCAACGGATTGATAGTTTGGTCCCGCTTACTTCGACACTGGTCCCGGAGATGGTGAATAGACAGATGCTTTACCGAGGTCAGGGGTTCCAGGAAATGGGGAGTTTATTCCCGCTTTTGAGCTTTCTGGTTCTCTTATCTTCCCTCCAATGGGGAACACACAGAGGAATATTTGGATGGTTCGTCCCCACCGGACAGGTGTTCATTCGCCCCTTCGAACGGATTCAAAAGAAAGAGAAGACGCCCACCAACTCGTACTTTCTCCCTTCTGAGCCCTCATCGGGTGACGGAAACAAGGACTTGGGTTACGGGAGTTCTTCTGCTGTTTATGCCCTGGGTCCGGTCCCAAGCACTGGATATGAGGATGGCAAAGAGTGAGATGGATCGGCACCAGACGTTGGATCATTGCCATCAGAGGGTCACCTAACCTATGAGAAGTGAAGGGACACCTGGTTTCGCTTTCGGGTCTGATAGAGAGCATTGCTTCAATAAGTATTAACAACCCCTCAAATGATGGAGATTCAGACTTCGATTGGGGAGGGATTGGAATCATTCATTGGTGTCAGCAAGGAGGACAGGCGCTTAGCTTCCCTTTGCACCGAAATGGCTTATTCCGAACCCTTGCTTGGGCTTTCATGACCCGCTAGAGAGGATGTGGTTGGCCTTAGTGATGAGTAATTTAATATTTTAAACTTTAAAATAATATAATTTTTTATCTAAATGTCAGTTTTTAATAAAATTAGTACTTTTAGAATTTGCTCATCAAGATCTATCAAACAAGATGCAGATTGACTATTAAATTCTTAAAAATAAATAAATTACTGTCAAAATTGACGTAAATAGTAGCATGTTACTTTGTTTTACAGTAAAATGTTACTCTGGTTGATAGTAAGATTTTATTATCAGTTCTGAACAGAGCATCAGCAACAAAAAAAAAAGTAAGAGCCTCCCTGCATGGAGACTCACACTACTTTTAGAAATTAAGACCCATACTCATAGAATACTGAATTGCAGCTTCAAAAACCCTCTTTGTGCTAATCGAAACTGACACATCAGTAGCAGAAGAAGCCCCGGAATCAACTGAATTTGGTCATTACTTTACTATCATTCTTGAACACATATTTTGCTTAGTTAATATGAGTTTTTCCTATCTTCAACACATATCACCTTCACTCAAACTCACAAAAGACTTACACAACGCAATACCAATTCAAAATCTGCAATGTCAAACCCTAATTGAGATTGAATTAATATATTCTATATATCAAAATGCAAATTCAACAATTTCTCGATCCAGAAAATACAAAAAGCATCATGAATTTTAACCATTAATCTTTAACATAAAGAATCAATTTCTTTGGTGTTGAAAAGCGTCGAGTTGGATCGAAATTGAAGAACATATGAGTCCAAAAGTAAGATACTGCATAGATACAAAGTGTCCAATACACCGTTCGAAGCTTAGCTTCTTCAATTAGATCTCGTAAGGCCTTTGACGACTTCATTGTCTCAACAACCTCCAATTTCCTTTCAAAAACCACCAAACAGGCACGATTTTGAATCGAATTTTAATCTTTCAACACCAAAGAAATTGAAGGAAAGAATGTTTTGTTGGTCGTCGCTGAAATATAAATCTAAGGCAAGATTGTCCTTCATGAAGAAAAAGAAGAAAAAAATATTAATTTGTCTTTCGTGAAAAACATGCTTCCTGTTTAGGGGATTTAGGAAGTAAAATATTTTGAATTGTCCTTTATACATTAACATGTTGGGCCTAGGGGGTTTTTGCCAAATTACCCAAAAAAATCTCAAAGTTTGAGTCTTATAACAAAATAAATCATAATTTTTTTATTTTATCAATTCAAATTCTAAAATTTTGATTTGTTTTCAATTTAAACTGACTATTCACCTATTTTTGTTAAGTAAAATTATCGGAAAAAATGTATTTTAGTCAATAAACTCAATAAAAACATGTATTTTAGACATTTTTCATACACCAACATTAAGTTTAAGATTTGCTTAAAATACAGATTACTCATTGTAATTTGAAAAATTACAAATACCCCCGTTATTAGAATTTTTTTTAACATAATTAATTAAAAAAATGAAATTCGTAATTGCTCTCCTATACAATAATAAAATTATCTAAATTACTAATTGAAACATATTTTTAACATCATTAAAAACTGTTAATTGAGTTGATGATTTATTAATAAAATGGGTGATTTGTTATGAAATTAAAAACCTTAGGAAGTGGAATATAATTTTCAAAACTACAGAGGGTGATTCGTATTTTAATCAAATCTTAGAGTGTGTATTTGTAATTTATTCTAAATTTATTCATAATAATGTGACAAAAGAGCTTTGGTATTTAACTCTATAAACCGACTAATCTCAGGGACCAATCGCACCGTTTACCAGTAATGGATTCAATTAATGTCGAGACAACATATAAACTTATCTTAAAAAATTATTTGCACTCAAGATTTTAAACTTGAGACCAAGTCAACCCTTTTGGGGTTGATCTTTTGGGGTTGATGTGACAAAGGAATTGAGTTGTCTATCCTTTGAATATATAACAAATTAAAAGATATACCTATTATACTATATATTGTGGGCCAAAATAAAAAGTTTTTTAAAAGTATTTCAAACATTTTTCGTAGAATTAACTTCATAATTTAACCACATAGAAGATCTGAATCAATTATACGTGTGAAGCTGATATATCCTTCAAAGTCACAGAAAACAAAAATGTGAATTTTCCACAGGACTGGTTAATTCTTGTTCTTGTCCCATTCAACAAGGACAAATCAGTCCTTCCACTTTCTTTCGCGTTATGAGTGTGAAAGCTATAAAAATGGCCTATAAAAATCAAGAGAGAGAGAGGAACAGAGAAAGAAGAGAGAGAGAGAGAATGGTCAAAGTAAGAGTTTATTGTTAACCAAAGAAACAAGAAAAAAGAAACAAGAAAGGGAATTAAGAAATTTAAAGAAAGTTCCCACCTATTCTATTCCTCTCTATTCCTCTCTTTCAAACTTCCCATAAAGACATTTATATAGTTGTCTTACCCATTCCCTATTCCTCATTCTCTCTCTCTAAACAATCAAAGAGATGAGTGATAATGGAATTGTAGAGAAAGCTCTTAGCTGCCTGGGTAAAGGGTTTGATATAACATCTGATTTTAGACAAAAATACCACAAGGGAAAAGATAGATTAGTTTTGCTAAGTGAAACAGAAACAAGAGAGCTTGTGGTACCGGGTTTCGGAACCTACAAGGATGTCTCTGTCGACATAAAATGCGACAAAGGTGATCGAACTCGATTCCAATCCGACATCCTCGACTTCAACCAGGTTTCTTTTTCTTCTCCATTTTCATCGTTGTTGTTGCCATTGATTGTTTTTTATTATACATAACAAAGATGTTATCTGTCATTTTTTTTTGTGTGTGTGTGTGTGTTTGTGTATATTCTTGAAATTTGTTTCTTGTATAGAAATGATTATGAAGGGAGAAAAATGGAAGAGAATAAAATCTTGATATATAATTTAAGTTCTAATACTTTGTTTGGTAGAAAAGAAATGAGAGGATTACGGTTGGTAAGAAAAGAAAAAATGAGTGATTTGTTATTATTTAATTAGGATGAAAAAGAACTATAAGAGGACAGCTATGTTATTTTTTTTTTCTTTATTTTATATTTAAATGGGTAATTGAGATATTATGAAATTCTATGTATAATAACTTCTTATTTTTTTTATTTTAAGTGGTAAGCGAAAATAATATTATTAATGTTATTGGAAAGGTACCCCTATTGCAACTCAAATTACAATAATTTAGTAACTTTGGTTTATTACCAATTCATTTTCATTTTGATAAAAACAATTAAATCTTTTAAGTGATTTATTTTTCTCATAATTTCTCACGTTCATCCAAATAAGACTATATTGTTCACTTTATCTTCATTTCTTTTGTTTTCTCACTAAATTCTTCGGTCCAAATGGACAATAATTGATATAGTGAAAAAAGTTAGTGATATATAAAATATTTATAGACATAAGAGTTATTTTTATTAACTTAAAATTATGAGATAGTATATCGATGCAGATGTCGGAACTTTTCAACCAAAAATCCTCGGTGTCAGGGAAAATTCCTTCCGGTCAATTCAACTCTATGTTTGGTTTCCAGAGCGGATCATGGGCATTTGATGCACAAAAAACCAAATACTTAGCGTTTGATGGTTACTTCATAGTACTCTTCATTGTTCATATTGACCGGTACCCTCTTGTACTCTCCGATGAGGTCCGAAATGCAGTTCCCTCCACTTGGGATCCATGTGCTCTTGCAAGGTAACCCTAAAACAAAAAAAGGTGTCTTTTTTTTTTTTTTTTTTATCATAGAAAAGGTTATATATAAGCAAATTTATTACTCAGAAAGTTTAGTAAGAAATCCGTTTATATATAACATTGTTTTCTACTCATTCTCAATAGTTGTAGATTATAGCATGCTTTAAAATATCATTGTGTGTTTTTGATATTGAAATATCGGTTGCTTGTGGTTGACGATTTTAAAAAATTCACTATTGTAATTCTTAGTACATATCATTGATATTTTTAATATTTTTAAGACATAACCATTACCAAATCCTACTACATATATAATTCATTATTTTTTATTTTAAAATTGATAAGAAGGGATTAGAGAAACAAAAACGCTACATAACACAATAATAATACTCAAATCTAGACGTGGCCCTTGATAACGAAATCTTTATCAAGTAGATTAACTTGTAATCTTCTGATACTCCTATTTAATACCGTGAATTGCTGGCAATTTTGATCTAGAAAAAAAGTAGTACATTTTTAGTGGTTTTAAGTAGGCCATGACATCTTAGGGGCATTGAACTAGTCCACCGAGTTTCATTTTAACCATCTGTAGATACAGTTGAACTCATTTTCCCTGAATTTAATTCAATTCAACAAACTACTTTATTACTACTTCAACAAACTATTTGGTATGTGGTTAGATGTCCCTTTAGCAGCCGTATCTCAGTCCATCGTGACTTGCTGAGCTTTGAATCGGTCAATGGTTGGTGTCGTAATAAAAGATTGTTTCCCAATTTTTTAAGAGTATCACTCAGGTAATGCCACGCTGTTTTTGAGGACTATTTAATAATTTTTCCTCTCACTCAATTGACCATGATAGGCCAAATAAGTTCCACTCAACCCATTACTAATCCAGTGATATATATATATATATATTAGGAAATTATTTTTTAAATACTTATATTTTAATTTTAGTTTTATTTCAATAAGTCTTATTATTTAGACATTTGATCTATTAAATCCTAATTTTCATATTTAAGATATTTTATAAATAATTTTACTGTTACAAATATTTTTTGAACGTTTAGTCATTTGGTAATATGAATCTTCATATGTTACAGTGTGAATATTCACATTGACATGTGAATGTTCATTTGACAATTTAAATATTCACATCATAGAACATTCACACTGTTAATATGAATATATATTATTATTTGAGATATTTTGATAATTATGTTACTTATAAAACTTATTAGAATATAATAAAATAATTTAGAATAAATGAAATATAAATAAGTGGAAAGAGATTTATAAATAAATATTAAAAAAAATTCAAAATTTGAATTATATGTCCTAAATTCACTCCAAATATGGCCCCACAATAAAAACTTAAAATATACACTACTGACCAATTTTTTATGGTAATTTTCTGGGACCATTTCAGTGCGTTGAGTTGGTAATTTGATTATTCCTTTTGAACTAGAGTTTGTAAAAAATACCCAAAAAATAAATAAATAAATTAAAAATAATGAAAAAAATTATCAAATGTCATTGTATTGTCATGCAGTGGTGGGTGCATCGGTTGGTGAATGTAACCTCTAAAGATAGGCAATCTTGACATATTACAAATAAAATAAACAAAATAGAAATTTGGATAAGAGAGGACCAAGTCCAATGTAGAAATCCAAGCGGGTGTGACACCTTAGCTCTCGTTTGGCAATGGACCAAAATGAGATTGGTTACATTTTTAGTCAAAAAAAAAGAAAGAATGAAGGAGTAGTTAAAAAATTAATAAGATAAAATATTACATTCAAATCATAATTATTTTACTTTTTCTCTCATAAAAATTAAAAAAATAAAAAAAGCCTACCTAAACAAACTTTTAAACCTCAAGCTAAAATAACCAAAAAGCGTAAAAGTTAACCCACTTCGCAAATAAAGCCTAATAAGACTTTGGGACATGGGTTTTGAGATTTCAAGTTCCATTCTTTTCGGAGTTAGCCATTTAGGTGATAACATATAGTTGGTAGGACGAACTTTTTAGTCTAAGACGAGCGTTTTAGCCTTTGATAAACCGTACCCAGTGTCAAGTGTGTGGATTTGGATCGCCACATGTGTGCGAATTCATAGCTTACCACCATATGATTGAGTGACTCTGCTATGCAACAATCACCTAAGAGTGACCTCTGAAACCTCGATTCTTTATAAGGTCTAATCCCAAATATTACTCCTATGTGATTAGGCCTTCTAAATCAAATAGAGAAATTGTGTCCAATGATCTATTATTGTCATTTGCCATAATAATACAAACTACATAATTAAGGGCCATTTTGGGATCAAGTTTATAAGTTAACTTAGATTTTTGTCTTATTTAAATCATATAATTTTTTTATATTTTATACCCTTTTTTTTGATAATAAATAAAAAAAATCAGTTTCTAGATGATCCTCCAAAATAATCTTTAGAATCTCATCTTTTTGCATATGAAATTCAACATGTGTCAGATGGAGCCTCCACGCTTGATTGATTACTAGTACTTGCTAATATTTTGATTTGAAACAGTCAATGTCAAACTTATGATGTAAAAAATAAAAAGTAAAGTCAACAATATCAACGGCAGACACGGTGGCGTTTTGTGTATTGCATTGAATGTTTGTTAAGACGAATCGTATAAGGGGTGATTGGAATCCATGTAATATTGGGATTCATAATTTTGAAATTATTTGGTTGGATAATATATAAATTTTATATTTATTTAGTTATGAGATTAGATATGTTTATTTTGGATATTATATAAAATTTTAAAAAAACATTAATAAAATATCTATAAAAAAATTATTTTAAAAAATTAAATAAATAAAACATCAATAAAAAATAAATAAAATTATTTTATTTTTAAATTGAGACTACTTTATTAAGTATAATTAATACCATGAGGAAAAAGATATTTAGGGGTTGTTTGTGATGACCTAAATAAGTACACTTTTTATCTTTTTATAAAAAGATGTGCAGAACAGTAGAGAGATGATGTGATGAAAAAAAGATAAAAAAATAAAAAGTGTGTACTTATTTAAGATAGCCAAACTTGCCCTTAACACTAGACAATCAACAATGTAATTTGGCAGCCTAATCGCAGGGGATGAGTTATCCCATGATTTGTGTCCCAGCCCCTCCCCCCATATGATACAATAGTCTAAGATTTGAGATTAATAGATAAGTGCAAAAAATTTAAAATAAACAACGGATTATTAATTCGAATAAATTATTAGTTCAATCTCAACCTTCAATCTCACCAAACAAACATGCTGTTAGTGCTGTGGAGAATGTGGTGGTTCCTCTGGTATGTAAGAACGTTTTGGAAATGCAAGTTATTAAATATATGAATAATGCTTGGGACCCCTTTTTGGGGTCACCCCCTCACCCCCCTTTGTCACGTGGCAGGGGGTGATTGGTGGAGCAGGAAAAAAAAGAAAAAGAAAAAGAAAAGGTAACCAATGAGAGAGAGAGGGGGTCAAAGGGGGTGGGGGAAAAGGGGGGATGAATCATTACTCTAAATATATAAGTTGGATGCTTCGGTTTGGCTTATTTTGAATTCATTTTGATAATTTAAATTATTCAATATATAAAATTTATTGACTATTTTGTTTATGTAAAATATCATGTTAATCTAATATTAATAACTATTTGATTAGATTACATTTGTGTCAATAAATTATTTTTAAAATTATGCTTAATTTTGACACAAAATTGATTGATCAACTAGTTATCGATATTCAATTAACATAATTTTTTGCAAAGATAAAATACTCGACAAAACCTACACATTAAACGATTTGGATTATCGATGTGCACTCCGTGATAGGTCCACGGATGCTCAACAGCATGCTCACTGCCTTATTAAAATTAGTTGTTAAGTGTTGTTGTATGTGTTTACCCAATAGGCATTTGCCACGTCAAATATTTATTTATTTATTTTCTTTTGAATTCATTATTAGTTTATTAAATAAAGGGAGGGATTAAGCTTTTCTTCCATTGGTGATCTAATGTAGTGGTATTGTTAGGTTTGAATTATTCATACTGTAAGATTCATTAACAAGATCTCATCTATGAAAAAAAAATAAAAATAGTAATAATTAGATATAATCTGATCACATGTCTTAAAATTTATTTTTTTCAAAAGATAAATAATTTTTTTAGATGAATAATTTATTTAAACGTTACAAAATAAATAATTCAAATCACTAAAATGGATCCTAAAGGATTCACCAAGCTTGAACAACACAAACGGATAGGGAATGGGGTAGCTGTTGTACAATAGCCATTATTGTTCTCGCGGGGATGAAAGATCAGCAAGAGTAAGAAAAAACAAGTAGGTAGGCGGGTGTAGCAGTTAGCAAGACCAGTAGACAGTATGAGCATGTTTTTCTAAGCTAGCAAGCATTCTGCACAAAATTAGCCCCTACCCCCACACAGGTTTAAGTTTCTATCTACAATAAGATCTTTCCCCTCCTATTACTGCTATCAAAGAGAAGCTTTTTCCTATACTCTCGGTGGGACTCACTCCGAGTCCTATCTCGATTATCTGAGCCATTTATTTTGTGGAGCTTGTCAAGTAATACATTCATGCACAAAATTAAGTTGATCGGATAGCGATAACATTTTGATCAAATCATATTTATAGTTGAGTTAACACTTAAAATCGAACTTACTATTTATTTTTTAGATAGAAATATATTTTGATCAAAAGATTATCAATATTCCATTAATTTGATTTTTACAAGAAAATACTATTTAGATAAATTTTTAAAAATAAATAATTCAAATTATTCAGATGAGATGAAGAATGGGTCCCACTAAAAAGACAACCGTAATTGCTTGCCCTCGCACACTAATCACTCAAAAGTCCAAAGGGAAGTTGTAGTTGGCGGGAATTGAAATCTCGCTAAATAAGCACATGAGATGGCCTGAGCATTGGGTTTTTGTCTCATAAGTTTATTCTTTCGGTCTTTGACATTTGGTTGCTAATTTACCAAATTGTCAAAAAGATTTTGGATTAATATATATATATATATGAAACTGTCAAAAAAATGTAAAGTAAATATAGATCTTAGATCTAGCCGTATCATAACCTTAATTGGGGTTTGGTCAAATTCCTAATAGGAACTCACAATTTCATGGTTTATTTATATATAATAACAAAAGAAATAGCTGAATAAAGAGTTTCACATCATTAAATTATTTGAAGAAAACAATCTCCCTCCTAAAAATCTATTATAATTATAACCAAAAAAAAAAAAAAACCAAAAAAAAAAAAAAAGAAAAAAAAAGAAAAGAAAACATGTTTATTCATATATATATATATATATTTCATGTTATGGTGTAAAACAATAAATAAATAAATAAAATAAATTAAAAAGCAAAAATACAAGGTCAAGAGTCGAATTCTCACATTACATTTTTTTAAAATAAAATTATTAAACTCGTATTTTAAATAAGCTTGATTCTATTTAAAATTTTTATCATTCTTTTAAAAAACATAATTAAAAAATATTGTATATTTAGAAAGATGGTTAAAAATCATCTTCCAGCTTTTAACTCATTTTGAGTCACATCTTCTCTCTCATTTTTTATATGTTTTTTCTTTTAACCATATTTTCAAAATAATCTGAATTTTTTACTTGATTTTTCTACCATTAGGCATAATAAAATTGCACGAGTCTCACATGTATTTAATAATATAAATATTATTACTTTTGTGTTTAATTGATAAGATGAAAAAATAAAATTATTAAACTCGTATTTTAAATAAGCTTGATTCTATTTAAAATTTTTATCATTCTTTTAAAAAACATAATTAAAAAATATTGTATATTTGAAAAGATGGTTAAAAATCATCTTCCAGCTTTTAACTCATTTTGAGTCACATCTTCTCTCTCATTTTTTATATGTTTTTTCTTTTAACCATATTTTCAAAATAATCTGAATTTTTTACTTGATTTTTCTACCATTAGGCATAATAAAATTGCACGAGTCTCACATGTATTTAATAATATAAATATTATTACTTTTGTGTTTAATTGATAAGATGAAAATCAATTTATGTATATAATTACTCTTGACAATTTGGTGCAAGTTAAGTTTTTTGAGTTAACAAATCAAGCCAAGAATAGGACCTAAAAAGAAAAATGGAAATCAAAGCAAAATCTTTATAATATAATATAATATTACATTGTGGGTGATAAAGTTTTGTGGAAATTATATACAGATTTATAGAGAAATATGGGACCCACATAGTAGTGGGGCTGGGCGTTGGAGGGCAGGATGTGGTGCTGCTAAGGCAAGACAGGTCATCAGATTTTGATCCAACACTGCTTAAAAACCACTTGGATGATCTTTGTGATCAATTGTTCACTGGCACTTGTACCTTCTCTCCTCACCATTGCAAGGCCAAAGAACACAAAAACAAGGTTCTACCTCTTCTCTTCTCTTCTCCCTCCCCATTACATCATTACATATAAATACATACATTTTTAATGAGTGTAATGTTTGTAGACACATTATGAACATGCATGTGTATTTAGATATTTCAAAATATTTTTAAAGATTTTCATATTATAATTTAAAAAAATTGATTTGGAGTCAATATAATCATAAAGAAACAAGAAGGAAAAATGTGTCGATGTATACATTGATATTTTTTTGTATCTTTGTGTCGGAATTTATGCTCATCTATATAACAAACAAAAAATATATATATTAAAAATCTTGTCAACAGTACTTCTGAAACACGAAAATAAGACAAAAAATTGAAGAGCACAATGTACTTTCTCCTACTTTTATAACATTTTTGGTTATTTTATAATTGATTTAATCCTTTTATCATTTTCAAAACACTTTTTATACATTCAAATTTTAAACAATACCCCAAAGGCTCTTGTTATATAGGGGTGAGGATGGTCTGAATTGGATCGGATTGGGATAAAATCATGATCAATTTGTTATTTTCGGTTCTTGAAAAATTGGAACCAATCCAATCCGTTTAAATTATGGAACAAATCCGAACCAATCTATTTAAATACGGATTGGATCGGTTTAGGACCATGGATTCACATAATTAAATAACAAAAGTATATATATATATATAATACTTTAATTTCATAAAAATATAAATATAGTGCTATATTAGTTCCACAACTAGAATTTAAATAACCATAAAAAAACAGGTTTCACTATAAGTATTTAGACCATTATAAATTAAAACTAAAATCTATCAAACAAAAATAATAAAAGAAGATATTATACGGTTTGAGGTTTGAGTTTAGATTTTATATAGAATAAGAGAAGATACTCTGGGGGAGGATGCATAATAAAAATATAGACTATTTGCATACGGTCCGGATCGGTTCCAATCCGAAACTGTAGGGTTCAATCCAGAACTAATCCGTGGACTACGGATTTTTAATTCTTCAATCCAGAACCGAACCATGGATTCAAAAAACCAATCCAAACCTATCGGATTGGACTGAACTGGATCGGATTATGAATTTCACGGGTTCCTTACTCAACCCTAATTATATATTTGTTTGTTGAATCTTAGTTGTGGCCAGTCTATATTCTAATTTTTTCAAAATCACTTAATCCGATATTGTGTTTTTACGTTTGCTTCTTAGTCTATACATATATTAATGTAGGTATTATTATATCCAAGAAAATATTCTTACGTAACATTTAATTTTGCTTTTAATAAAACTGTTTATGTAAATTAATTACAGGCACCGCAGGCTTTCAACGTGTTTGATCCGCAACCTATTGGGTTCAACAGCTACTCAGCTATCTCCTCTAAAGATGTAGGTTTGGCCCATATCATTGACTAATCTTTTCAATTTGAGACTTTATTTATTATTAGTTTATTACAATTATTGAATTAATTAATTATTTACAAATCACAAGAAAAGACAGATAGCAAAATGATATTGATGCATTGATTACCTTACTAATAATTTGCCCTAAAGTATTCTTGTTTGTGTTGGTCAAAGTTTTTGTGCCCATCAATTATTGGGTTGGGGTTGGTTTTGAAGATTTGATAACTGAGATTAATACATATTTGACTCTTATACCCTTCTAGTTTGTGAGCCAACTCTACCAAAAACATATAAATAAATGTGGTTGTAATTAATATTGGTGGCTGCAATGGCCTTGCAACAATTTCTTAAGGTCAATAACAAAGTTCTATGTTAAATTAAATGAAAAAAAAAAAAAAAACAAAAACCCAGAAGAACACATAATAACTCTCCTAGAAAAAAATAATCATTATTTAATGAAGAAATCATACACAGAGAAAAATTTTAAAAAAAAAATGGCATATAGTTCAGATTTCAATTTAATTATAGGTCCCACCATAAATGTGTGGAATCTAGACCTCAAATTATTTTTCTATGTTTGAGTTCTTAATCCCTAATATTATTGTTCTTGATAACATTTTCATGGTGATCATTGTTATCTCTCATGTTTCTTATAGTCAAAAGAAAACAAAAGAATAAATTAATTCTATGGAAAAATTAATAAGAAATCACGAAAAAGGGAGGAGAGAAAATATTTAGAATTGAAAAAGATGTTTATGCATTTTATTTTATTTTATTTTATTTTTTTGCAGGGTATAAGTGTAATATGCTCAAAAAGGGGAGGAGATACAACAATGAGTAGCCATTGTGAGTGGCTGCCAACAGTGCCATCAATGCCAGATGCAGTTCACTACAGCTTCATTCCCATCACCTCTCTCCTCAAAGGTGTCCCTGGCAGAGGCTTCTTATCCCATGCGATCAACCTCTACATGAGATGTAAGTACCTTTTCTTTTCTTCCTACACACTTAACACAAAATTCATACACAGAAAAATATTGAAAAAAATTTAATCCGCGATCTAAATTCATTTAAAATTGAATCCGACTCACATATTACTTTTTTAAATATATTTATGTTCACAAATTTTGTGCTCTTCATAACCTTGTGTTCTGTAAAACTTTGGACTACTTCAATTGAAAACTATGCATGAAACCATAAGAACAAAACACTAATAAAATTATAATAAAACGTACTTGTTCTCTTTATCCCTCAACTAATGGCTAGCGCGTCTAATTCAATTAAGTAAAAACAAAACAAAACATTTATTATATATTGTTTGCTACTCAAGTGATAAGAATCTTTTTAGCTAAACCTAAATTCTTAAGTTTGAATCCCCAGTTGCACTCTCTTCTTTATCTAATTTTTTATTTTACAAAAAAATTAGACACTTGACATAAAAATATATATATATATTTCAACAGATAGTATATAGAAGAAAAGTATTGATCATGACTAATTTTTAATTAGTAATTTTTCATTTCAAGCATTCCATATCACATATGCAACATTATTGGGGGCAGTGGAAGCATAAAAAACAAAAACTAAAAAAATGTAAGTGGTGTCACAAAGTGTGGAAACTCTTAACCTTGATATACTGATATATTATAATATTATTTACTTGATTGATATGGATCACATGACATTTTATATAAGATTACATAGAAGGTTTGAGTCAATGTATCTCAGAGTCTTAGATGAACATTTCATATTCTTATGTGTGTTTACATTAAATATTTTTATGCATTATATAGATAAATGAACCATCCGGCTTGTTGAAAACTACAGATTACATTTTTCAAAAAGACATTATTACTCCCTAAAATTAGAAAATATTAAAAAAAGATAAAAATTTATTTATTAATCATGTAAAACAAAAAATTCTCTTCTAGAAGAATCTTAAGCAAATGAAGAGATTTTGCTCAGATCAACTCCATTTGTTTCAATATCTACAATTGTAATAATTTATCTGTGAGTATTGATGACTTCTTGTATTTAACTAAAATTCTCTTCTCTTTTATCATCAATTTAACTCAATTTTATTTTAGCATTTGATATGATATGATGATATATGTGCAGACAAGCCTCCAATATCAGATTTACAGTACTTTCTAGACTTCCAAGGGCACAAGCTTTGGGCTCCAGTCCACAATGATCTTCCACTAGGCCCAAACACTAGCAAGTCCATTCCTACCCTTTCCCTTCAATTCAAACTCATGGGTCCTAAACTTTTAGTCAACACTTCACAGGTTCATATGTTATTATAATTCTTGCAATATTCACAAAAGTATTAAACCATATATATATATATATAATTGAATTTTTTTGTTTGTTTCTCAGGTCACAGCTGGAAAGAGACCTGTTACAGGGATGAGGTTGTATCTTGAGGGCATGAAATGCAATAGGTAAATGACTAATGTACCCTTCATTCAATCATTGGTTTTAATGTTCATATGATGTTCTTGGAATCCAGCTCACACGCCCCTTTCTATGTTTCTTTTTCTTTCCCCTACAATTTTGTTGGCTCAATTTGATAACTAGTTAAAAAAACCAATTTTTTAATTTTTTAACTTTTTTTAATCAAAAAGTCAATTTTTTGACTTTTTAAGTTTTTTTTAGTAAAAACAATCAATTTTTTTACTCAAAAGAAACCAGTTTTTTGTCAAAAAAATCAAAAAATTAAAAAATTAATTTTTTACCAACTTTCCAAAACACTCCAAAATCAATTTTGTTGACATGAAGAATTCTATGAACCAATAAAATTCAAGAGAAACAAAGAAGGGAGAAGACATTTATAGTATTTTGTAATATTGCTATCACATATTTTTGGTTTTATAGGCCTTGTTCTTCTTCTTTGTGGGGCTGAAGTATAGCCCGTTTAAACTGTTTGTATTGTAAAAAATTCGTATACAAAATTAGATTAATAATAGATTTCTTGAATTTTTTTTTTTTTTTTGAAAATAAATGTGATGATATGATTACGTGAGTTTGGGAAGACTAAATAAGTGCACTTTTTGACTTTTTATGAAATATGGGTTGGGTTTGGGTTGGGTTTGAAGTGATGTGTTAGAGAGGTGATGTGACTTAAATAAGATGATATGACTTAAATAGGATAATAACTTTTTGACTTTTTAGATTTTTTGGAAGATGCCAAACTTGACCTTATAGTATTTTGTAATATTGCTTTCACATATTTTTGGTTTTATAGGCCTTGTTCTTCTTCTTTGTGGGCCGAAGTATAGCCCGTTTAAACTGTTTGTATTGTAAAAAACTCGTATACAAAATTAGATTAATAATAGATTTCTTGATTTTTATTTTTTATTTTTTGAAAATAAATGTGATGATATGATTATGTGATTTATGATATTCGATCAATTTTTTTTCATGCTCAAAATTGATCAAACATGATCGTTTATCAGGTTAGCCATACACCTCCAACATCTATTAAACACACCAATTCTCCTCCAAAACAAGATCGCCGATTCACCAACATGGCGCGGATCAGAAGAACTCTCCGACGTCCGCTACTTCGAGCCCATCCAATGGAAAAAATTCTCTCACGTATGCACAGCTCCAGTCAAGTACGACCCCAACTGGACCACAACCCGTGACGACTCCGCCTTCATCGTCACTGGGGTCCAACTCCACGTTAAAAAGCACGACTCTAAAAGCGTGTTGCACCTACGTCTCTTATTCTCTAAGGTCTCAAATTTTTACGTGGCGCAATCTAATTGGGTCCGGAGCTCGTCAGAGAATTCTCAAAAATCAGGTTTTTTTTCTGCGATTAGTACTTCGATTACGGGTAATGGAGAGAAGGAGAAAACACCAGTGGTGGTTGTGGATTCTAGTGTTTACCCGACGGGTCCGCCTGTGCCGGTGCAGACTCAGAAGCTATTGAAGTTTGTGGATATATCACAGTTGTGTAGAGGACCGTTGGATAGTCCTGGGCATTGGTTGGTGACTGGGGCGAGGTTGGTTTTGGAAAAAGGGAAGATTTGCCTGAATGTTAAGTTCTCTTTGCTCAACATGTGTTCATAGCTACTGAGGAAGGTAACAAAAATGTTAAATGCATAGAAATAGAACACAGGAATTTTTTTTTTATACTATTTAGAAGAAATCTTAGCCGTACAATATGCTTTTGGTGCATTTTTTGTATTCTGTTTCGAGCATCGTAGGGAAGGTAAAGCTCAATGACGGTGAACATGTTGGTTTTGTGGAGTTGTGTATAGCTTGGTCAAGGGTTCTAGTCCTAAAGTTTTATGTTCTTTTCTCTCGAGATACTGGCAACTATTGGATTATGTAAAAATCTCAACATGACAATTTTAAAGTATAATGTAATAGTTGTGAGTATTTTAGAACAGAAATAGAAAAATACAAGGATAAAGGATCGTGTATGATGTCTAGCTACATCAAAAGGAGGCATCCATATTTTGTTCCAAAATGGTGAACACTTGGCGTGTGGGATGAAGAGGTCATACTCTCTTGACGTGGAGGCACAAAATGTGAACTCAAGTCTTGTAGATATGAACAAAGAATTTAGGTTCAAAGGGAAGCAATTTATATATTGATTCTTGGGTAATTTGTAAGAGATTTTACCTGAGTAGGCCCAAAGTTGGACAGTTGGAGGCTTTTTATATTTAAGTAATAAATAATCTATGTCTTGGATTGTTTTGTTTAAAATTAATTTTCTTTTTCTAGAAATTTTTTATTTAAACATTTGTTATTATTTATATTTTGGATTGTTTTATTTAATATTTATTTTTCCATTCTCGTGACTAAAATGTCAACAGTTTATTTGTTTAAGGACTTTACTTCTGAGCCTTTGCATAATGAATTTTTTTTTTTAACACATAATAGGGTTTTTTTTTGGTTGCATCTTTGGATAAATAATTTTTTTATTTTCATTTTATTCAATTGGGTTCTTTTGGACAATAACGTTTTTTTACTGGGCTTTGTATCAAATTGTTTGGGGGACAAGGATGTCATTTTTGGGCTGGCCTCTTTCAAATTATCGCCTAAAATCTAGATCCAAGTGAACGATATTATTATTTTATATATTTATTTTTGTTGTTGTTGATCAGAATGCACAGCCGTTATGTTTGTCTCGTCCTATTAATTAAAAGATTATATTCTTAGGAAGTGATAAAAGTTTGGAAAAATTGTAAATAAGTGGCGTCTTTTCAAAATGTTTGTAAATTTGTAAAAAAAATTAAAATTCTAATTCTAATTGCTAGTAATTGCCTGGAACGGTCTTGGATTGGTTCCTTAAGTCTAACATTCTTTGTCATGTTACTTGGAAGCATAACTACCTCGTCTGTGAGCCTTGCATCATGCCAACAGAACTATTATGAACTGCCATTCATGTCAGCCTTTGAACCTTCCTGAGTTTCACCCACGAATTTGTAAGTCTTGATTTGCCATTAAGTGTCAAGCCCATTGATTTTTCTAATCCAACAAGCCGATGCTGCTAGCAGCATTTGGGCTAAGTATAGCCTTGCATTTGCCCACATAAAGCATCATTTGTCTTTGAGTCTCATGGCATTGTCCCTACCACATTGTTACCTTGACTTAGGCATGCCTCTCTCATGTCTGACTTGCACAGTTGACATAAGTGCAAGGTGCCACCACATGCCAACCTAAGTGTCCAAGTCCTAAGGTGCTAACAACTAAACACATGACCATCATATCATTTACATTAAATACAATAATAAAAAAGGTAAATTATTTTAGAAAAATATCTCCTTTTTGGTAAGGTTAATGTAATCAAAACTAATCTTAATAGTCAGTAGATATTGAAATAAACAAAGTTAGATATACATTTTAAAAGAAAAGAGATGATGCCATCAATTTATTTATTTATTTTACTAATAAATTATGAGAGATTTATTTATAAATCTCATTTAGAGAATTTATAGTCCAATAAGTCCAAAAAGTATTCTTGTGTTTCACCAAATCCCATATATTTGAACTTATATTCTGATAATGTGGTTTAGTCGGTAGGGGATAGGTCAAATAGGATCCAAATGCTCCATTGGTTGACTAGCCTTCATCTTCCCAGTGATACCTGCAACAACTCCAGTAGGAAGGTTCCAAAGAGCGGGTGGTTCCTTCCTGAAGACCCTTTGACGGTCAAGTTAATTTGAGTGTATAGAGAAAAGAAGAAGCTTAGAAAGGAATTGAAAGTAGAGTGAGAGAGTGAGAAGATGACTTGTTACCAAATGGCCTCCAACAGCTTCTCTATATCTCTTACCAATCATTCCCTTGTCCATTCACACTGTCCTATTGGTTGAAAGTCTACGGCCTATTTGCCTTCGGCCATGGTGGTTTCACCACACCCTAGAGGACGGGTCTTATTGCATTTAATGTTTGTCAATCTCATTTAATGCTTGGCAAGTGGGCCCAATCACTTGTAAGATCTTTGTCTACCATGTGGCCGGTTCTTTGCTTGACACGTGTCCGGATGGTAATTGGGTTTAACTACCATGGGTTCTTTGATTGGGCCCATTACCGGGCCTTATTTGCTAGGCCTTATGGTCATAGGTGATAGCTAATCAAACAATTATTTAGGCAGCCCATGCCAACTATGGGTTAGGCTTTCTTAGGCCATGCCCATCAGTAGTCCTTCATTCCCGAGTGCAACTTTAGTCCAACGAAGGGAATAAGAATAGTAGGGATAGTTCCCCAAGTCGTGGAGAGGGCACCGACCGATCGATCGTCTTATATTTAGGGAGTGAAAAATCCAAATGTAAGGTCGACTGTCGATGGGGGTCGTGCGGGCAAGTCGTGAAAGTATGGGAGATTGCTGAAGTTGGTTGACTGCTGAAGGTGGTCGAACACTGAAGCTGACCGACCAATGAATCAGACCGACCGGTAGGTTGGCTGATCAATGGACCTAACCGATCGAGGGTTAGTCGATCGAGGGACCCGACCGACTGAGGGTTGGCCGATCACCCTCCAAAATGTGGTGTGATAGCTAAGCACTTGAATGCATCTGTGAGGCGCAAAGCTAGAGGAATAGCGATTCACGTCATGATGTGATATGGATTGGACGTGAAGCGAAAAAAGAGGACTAGTGGTTAGGGGAATTAATCCTGTTCGTCCACGTGGAAGAATCCAGCCGGTTGATACAGATTTGAACCGTTTGGGATGTGAAGGGTTTCTGAAGTGTGTGAATTCGAAGAGTGTTGGCCATTAATCCTCTCTTGCAATGTACATACTATACTTAGCAATTTTCAAACTGGCGAATTTTAATCACAATCCATGGAATACTGGCAAACCGTAGGCCTTCTCACTTGTGTGATTTGCATACTTGATTGCAAAAAACCAAACCATCCTAGACTTCTTGTCTTTTGTCTTCCCTAACTCCCTCATCTTCAATATCTCCAACTTCTTAGCTCCTGCTTTCGAAGCAATGTACCGTAACGTGAAAGAGATGGCACAAGAGAACCCTCATTCTCTGATGACTGACCCACTAGGGAACGACAACGGAGTTGCTTTGGCAGAAAAGTACATGGTGGGGAAAATAGTGAGGAGGAGGGCCGAGAGACCACCGTGCCGCATTCCGTCGACCATGGTATCAGCTACTCAACCTATTAGCCAAGTGGGGCCTGGCCATTGACATACCAAAGTGGACAAGTCGACGCTGACAGCATTGGATCTAAAAGTGATCCGAACAAAGCACCAAATCCCTGAAAATATAGAACTGAGGCTTCCTACAGCGAAGGAATGAGCTTCCAATACCAAGCCAATGGAGTTCTTGCTATACGAAGAGACGCTTCATGGGGGTTTAAGGCTACCACTCCCCTAATTGGCCGTGGATGTATTGAATCGGCTAGAGGTGGCATCAGGCCAACTAGTGTCGAACGCTTGTAAAATCCTGCTCGCGAGTGCTATTTTATAGTCGCAGACTATGGAAGGGGAGAAGATGACAACAAACAAATAAATTTTCTACTACAAGGCATCTGGCCAGTAGGAGATATGGGTGGCCCTGTAAGTAGTGTTTGGCCGAGGATCGGTGACTGGTTTGCCCTCCTCAGTGAAGAGATGGAGGACCAAATGTTTCTTCGTATCTGTAAACGGAGGTAGGGGAGTTTGCACCACCTGGAAGATTCCGACGTAGTTGATGGAGCCCACATTGACTATTACAAAAAAGAGGAGGGTGTAGATGGCCAAAAAATTGAAGGACAAAGAAGGGTTGAAGTGGGACGACTTAGTGAAGCCTTCTGCTTTATTCGCTCTTGGGCTGGGTCCTGAGCCAACTGAAGGGGATCTAACGCCTGAAGAAGTGGAGACAAAGAGGAAAGCGCATGAGGTGGACAATCGGTGAGCGTTCGCGGCGACAGAGAAACAATTGGGTCTGCCCCAAAATCATTCGTCTACAAAGCTGCTCACTCTCGCCCAAAAAACTTGGCCAAGTAGGACTTGAAGAACTTTGTTTCGTTTGAGCCCCCAGTAGACCCCTTGAAGCAGAAGAGCAAAGCTGAGGTGGAGTGGCTGAAGAACAAGAGAGTTGCTCCAAAATATGGCCAAGATGGGCAAAAACCAAAAAAGGCTAAAGAGGTGGTGGCTAAGCAGGTTGCAGTAACGAGGGAAAGGGAGGAGGCAATGGAGGAGGTTGAGCCTCTATAGCCTAAAGCAAAAGCTGAAGAGGCTGAGGTAGACCCCCCTATTGTCGAGATGATTGAGTTAGGAGAGTCTGAAGACAAAGGACTTAATCAAGTAGCAGACCCCCAGCAATCAGAGAAGGCAGATACTGCTAAAGAGGCAGCAACAAGGGCTGAACAAATAGTGGAGGTTGAGTGCCCAGTTAAAATGCAACCAAGCACATCTGGGGCAAGCTCTGCCATCAGAAGAGTGAGCACCACCGCCCAGTATCTGAGCTCCGTGGTCGGCGTATGTAGATACTCCATTTTTGACTGCCCTTAAGACTTGGGCGCTTCATTCCGAACACTCGATGATGAAATATTATAATGTGTAATCTTTCGAATCTTCAGCAAAAGAATTCAGTTTTGATTTTCTAATCCCAACCTTACATCCCATTTTGACCAAATTGTTTGACCCTTAAAAATCCTTTTTTCAAAAATTAGGACC